GTTAAAGCAAGTAAAGTGATCTAACCCTAAGGTAACCCCTCTTTTTAAGACATTTCCCCAGCATAGTTACCAGTTCTGTATTATAGTGAGAGAACTGACTTTTTTGGTTTTATCCAAATGTGTGGATAGTAAGAGTCGTCACCGACTTTTCTTTTATCTAATATTTAGGAAAGGTGAAAAGAACAGGAAAGACCTTTGATAGATTTTGAGTTTGGGGGTAAGTTATGAAAAGGGAAGGTGTTAGCACCCTTTTTATCCGTAGTTATCTATGGGCTCCTAATGGCTATCTCACTTTTGAAAATTGCTTTTTGTGTAAGTGTTTGAAAATATTTTGAAAAGCCAAAGTACGACTATCTAATGATTCTTGTATCAGTCACCAAGAATGTGTACAAGGTATTTTTGAAAATATTTTAAAAGTGTGATGTGTGAAAAAATGTTTTTTAGAAAAGATTGTGAGCGAGCGATTAACAGTTCTTACCCACTCAAGGTCTTTGTTGTTATTTTGCTTCTCCTTTAGGGATAGTGCTATTTGTACCATTAGTTGGTAGGTAGTCCCATCTATTGGATGTGAAGGGACAATCAAGGGTCATCGTACGACCATCGAATGCAATTGATAAGGATACTTTAGCAATTTATCAGAGGGACTAGATCATCTGTTTGTAGGCAACATCGAAGGGTCATCGAGGGACTATGATCATTTATTTGGAGGGACTTTGCTAAAGTATCCCTATTTTCGAGGGACATGACCATGTTTCCGAAAGGCAACAATGGGAGGTTACTCTAGAGGTGTGTGTGTGTGTGAATAGTGATTCAATTCAGTTATTTTTATCTTGAATTAGGGTTTTCTATCAGTTGATTTTAGTATTTCCATACAAACCCTAGTTACTAGCAATTGAATAAAATTATCAGAGCAGAAAGTAAAGTGCAGAATGTAAACTTAAGCTATTACATGGCTTCGGGGCAGTTACATAAGTATAAAAATGCGGGAAATAAAACATACACTTTTACATCCGGGGAGCAGATACATAATAGAAAAAAGTCGAGAAAATAAGTCTAAGCTATTACAATTAAAGAGTGCAACCTATACACTTTTCTAAGAAAATAAATAGCATAAATGTTTAGAAAAATGTTTGAATGTTATAAAACCTAAGTTTGTATTTTTATATTTTTATAGAAAATAGTTTAAATGATAATAGTAATTAAAACCTAAATCCTAATTTATTTTAATATTTAAGAAAATATTAATTAGCCTAATTAATTACTAAATAAAAAATATGTCAAAAATTGATTATTGATTAAAAGAACCCTAATTCTAATTAATTTTAATATTTAATAAAAATGTTAATTAATTTAATATATCATGAAAATTAAATATTAGTTAAAAAACCTAATCCTAATTTATTAGTAAAAAATTTAGGTTAGTTTAATAATTGGTTAATTATAAAAAATTGGGTTAGAAAAAAGAAAAAAGGAAAGAAATTAGGTTAAGATAAAAAATAGAAGGAAAAAAACTGCATGGAATGGGTGTTGAACCCACACCCTCTTGGATTTTTACTGCATCGCTTGCCACTAAGCCCGACGCTCGTTGGTGTTTGAGAATAGGCGCTGCATAATATATGTGAAACCTGCATTAATTCATCTCAGGAACATATTAGAATTGTTAGTTTCAATCAAAGCATCATGAATATTAAAATATGAATTTCACAAAAAAACATGAAATTGTAGATGCATGGAAGTGGTTGTTTTGGATGTGGAATTGCTTAGAAAATGACTTGGATCAATTCCTTTGATTCTCAGAAAGCGATTGCTGGCTTTGGTTTGGACTGGAACTGCTTGGAATTTGGAATTTGATTGCTCATTTTTTCTTGAATTTTTGTGATTTCTTGAGACTTTCTTTGGAGGCAATTTTGTGAACTTGATGGTCTAAATGTGTTCTCTATTTATAGGCCATGAATTAGGTCAACAAACATAAATCAAATCTCTGTATTTCATGACAAAATATTTGATTTGATTTTTTTTGCATGAAAACATATCTTTTTTAGCTCAATCTTGTGCCAAATCCAATCTTCATGATCTCTCATGATTTTTTAGCATGATTATCTGATATTGGACTCATGATTTGATTCAAAATAGATCCCCACACATTGTATCATTTATTTGAAATTTTTATTTATTTTGCTTTTAAATGAATAAAAATCAAAATAAAAAGAAATAAAAATCATAAAAATAAATAAATGGATTTAGGACTCTATCATGAGGTCATGAACATGTTTGTACCTTGAAAGATAAGCCCATTAGCCCAAAAATTCAAGTTTGCTCAATTTGGGTTTCATGCATTTTCTCAAAATTGTCCAACTTGTGCAACTCATAAGCCTCTCAATTTTTATCATATGAATATGATCTTTGACTTTTTAGAAAGCTCAAGATGTCCCCTATAACTCTCATGTTGATCATTGTTTCATTTGAAGATTTTATCTTGATGTAAATTACTTTGACAAAGTGTCTTTTTGTTGACTTTTAAAATGACCTGTAATATTTTGGCTCATATCTCTCAAATGAAGCACTTTTTGGCCTTGAGCTTAGAGAGACAAAGTTGTAAAGAATTTAATTTAATTCAAAATGAGTTTGGTTGAGAATTTTTTGATGAAGCATGTGAAAGTTATGCTTGGTCAAAGTTTAGTTGACTTCTCCTAAAGAAAAGCCTAATTTAGCAACTTTTAACTTTTGATGAATCTTGAGTCTTCTTGATGAATCATGGTCAACCTTTGATTAAATGATGAATGTGAGTTAAAAATGTTAATGTTGACCAAAAATCTTGAGGTTTGATTGTAAGTTGACCACATTTGACTTTTTACCCAATACAGTTGATTTTCAATCAACTGAACAATTGACTGAGCAAATTGTTGATGTAAGGCTTGAAACTTGATATGAGGATTCTTTGAAGCATATGAGAAACCATGAAATCCACTTGGGGCATTAGAAGACCGATTCACTCTGAGAAAACCAAAATCCTAATTGTTGGTCATTGCTTAGGAGAAGGATTCATCTGATCAATTCTTGAGTAGTCTGGAGTACTTGAGCACCTTGAATTAATTTGTCTTTGAAAAATGGGAGGGAAAATTTTGGGGTATAACACCATGCATGCAGATGAATATAACAATGAGCCAGATGAAATAGAATAGGGTAAGGCAAATTTGGGGTCTGACAAGGGGATTTCATAATTAGGGGGATTCTTAAATAGAAGTTCATTGGGTGGTGTTAGGAAGAGGTATTGAACATTACGCGGTTGATGTTCATGGAATACTAAGTGTACTAAACTTCTAAGAGTGAATTTCCTTTCTTGGATAGAGTGCTCTCTAGACGTAGGTGTGGTTTCACCAAACTGGGTTACTATTTGTGTGCTAAACCTGGTTTAACTTGTTGGGTCACTTGTTCCAATATTGTGTTCGACATATGTCCCATAAGGAACATAATTTCACTTTCTACAAGGCTCATGAGGCAGTTAGCAAGGAAATATTGATGCTTCGACAAGTATTTCTTTGGAGTGTTTTAGAAGAAAATAAGATAAATTGGTTAAGTTGGTCTAAGATTTGTATGTCAAAGGAGGAATGAGGCCTCAGAGTTAAGCATTGTGGAAGAATTAAATTAACCCTTTTAAGAAAGTGAAAATGGAGAATTTTGAATTATCAATGGTACCAAAGATTCTCTATGGTGGAAGGGCATTTGTTCAGTGGGCTCTCCTTTGAGAGATGACCAAGACTAATGGTTCTCCATACTCCAAAGTCAATAATTTAGGCATGTGGTTTGAAGGAAGATGGGTGTGGGATATTGGTATAAGTGCCAATAAGCTTTCGATTAAAGAGGAATCTCGACTGAATATGTGATTAGAAGTCTCGCGGGATGTGAAACGTGTACCAACAATGAAGGATTTTTTTGTATGGTGGCGTTCTATAAGGGGATACTCATTCAAGGAAATCTATGCACGATTGCAAGAAATTAGCAATGATGGCCAGGAAGTGGATGAAGCCTTAGTGTGTGTTGGCTAGTGTGTGGAAAACAAAGGCTTGAAGCAAAGCACTCATTTTCGGTTGGAGATTAGTTCTCAACAGATTTCCAATGAGGGTGGACTTGGCAAGGCGTGTATAGGTTAATGATTAAATTATTATCTTGGGAGTAGTTTGTTACATCTAACAAAATTAGTAGGGACTTTGTGTGGTCAGATTAATGTTTAAATTCAAGGAGGTGTCTTGCTTAAGTTGATTTTATGATTTTTTTTCTCTTTAGTTTGAGATTAGTTGTAATTTCGATTCGAGTACTTTTTATACTCTTATTATTCAAATTTCTCTTGTTTGTAAAAAAAACTATTGATCATTTGTTACGAGCCTTCAACTATAAACTATAATAAATTAACTTTATCTATTATCAATTTTTTTTTTTTTACCAAATACAACCTAACTTGTATTTGCCTCAACTCTATCTGAAGTAATGAATTTAAATTAAAAAAAACATGTAATCAGCATGATTGTTTTCATCATAATTTTATTTAGATAACAAGAGTCAAATAATTCAATATGTAAAACACGGTTACATGAATTAATTAAGCATGATTGTTTTCATCACATTTTTATTTAAATAAGCACGAATCAAATAATATAATATATAGTGATGCGTACACGGTGTAGAATTGATCATCATTATTCAAGTCAATAAAATTTGGTAAATTCATGAGCAACTTCTCACAAAAAATGAAAACTAACACAAATTGTACACTTTCTTTACACTTTCATTTTCAATTATAAAACAACTTTATGGAAGTTTCCATGAACATCTCTTGTACCCATTTGTTCTTAAACTAACATATTCAAAACTCAACAATATTTTATAATTGTTGTTCTTTTCATCAATTCAACTCAAAGGGTTTTTGATTCTTTAACCTCTCAGATTCAAAATCTTTCTATTAATATATTCTCTTTTTTGTTCTTAGACATTCATTCTTAGACATGCTTCGATGGTTACAGTTGTTTCGAAATTGCAGTGTTCAACCCTGTCATATGCAGAGAAATCAAGTTGCTGGTTTACGATATTTACATACAGGTTCTTTCATTTTTTTATTCTAATTTATTTATTTATTTTTTGTTGCTTTTCGTAATCTTTATTAAAAATATATAAACCACTTTTCAAAGAGATATTTTCTATAGACAATTAGTATTTAATAAAATTCTCTTAATTTTAATTGCGTATAGACTTATATAACATTGATCATGTCATTATCAGATAAAAAATAATTATATTAAAACAAAATATAATACTCTTAATTCTACACACATGATTCCTATAAAACTAACCATAAGTCCTCTTAATTTACATACAGGAAAAATGGATTTAAGAGAAAACCAGCATCCATATACGTGCCAAAACGTCATCGTAATGAGGCACAGTGAACGCCTCGATAACGTCGAACCCTCGTGGATATCCACAGCAACACGACCGTGGGATCCGCCACTGACACACTCGGGTCGGGTTCTAGCATTCCAAACGGGTCAAGCTATCCGAAAGAGCCTCGGGTTCCCGGTTCATCGACTCTTTGTTTCACCTTTTCTACGTTGCGTCCAAACTGCCGCGGAAATCGTTATCGCTCTATCTGCCATTAACGATGCTGGTGAAAGTGTAAGCCGTGACCACACTTCTGTTGATACTTCAAAAGTCAAGGTTGGAATTTTTTTCCTTTTTTAATTTTTGTTAAATTATAATTCTCGTGTGTCTGGTGTCTGTGTGTCTGTATTCGTGTTTCGTATATATAAAAATATCTGGCTTTCACAATTGCAGGTATCTATTGAGAATGGATTATGTGAAATGCTAAACACAATAGCTATTCGTGTCAACGTTGCTCCAGAAGATGGAAAATTTAGTTTTGACATTTCACAGCTTGAAACCATCTTCCCAAATGGAACTGTGGATAATAATAATGTAGAAATGGTATATAAAGAGGTAAATCTGAATTTCATTTTCATCTTAATTTTATTATGTACGCATCAGCGTTAAATCTCTTGTCATAAAGTTTTACGGTCTATTATGGTTGTTTTATTCATCTTGAAGTTAGTCTCTCTAGTTGCGTACATCCTATTCTGATTTATACCAAAAATATTTTTTACTAAGCTGATCGAATCTTGTTTTTCTTGATAAATCTCAGCTACCTAAATGGGAAGAATCAGTTTCACAAGCAAGTGTTAGATATCAACAAACAATTACAAATCTTGCCGATAAATATCCTACTGAAAACTTGTTACTTGTTACACACGGTAAAAAAAAAAAAAAGTTCTATAATGATCCATTTAACATTGTATTTAGTTGGTGATTTATTTTAATGGAGTTGAACTTTTGCAGGGGAAGGAACACAAGTGGCTCTTTCTTCATACACAAAAGATGTTGTGGAACATAAAGTGAAATATTGTGGTTATGTACAACTTACACGTCCTATCTTCAAAAATGATCATTCTTTTGTTGGTGGAAAGTTCAATTTAGAAACTCACATTGGTCAAAATGGGGTGAACTATATTTCCTCACAAGAACTTTGAGTAAAGATATCAACCAAACTCCAAATAATGTAGTGATGTAGTACAAACACAAGTTACATTTTCTTATCCATTGCTAGCTCTCCCACTCTTCACACCACACACTCACTCCAAATAGTACACTTTAACTCTAAATAGTACACTTTAAACATTATTATAGTACTATGACTCTATCTTATCATGCTACTTTTTTTCAAGTCCATATATTATCTTCTATGCAAAATACACTTACCTCACTACCATTACGTGTGTATTATTGCATTCACACTCTTTTGTCCTTCATATAAAGCCACTCTTCAATACATCATCTCATTCTCTTTAACACAACTCAAAAATCATGTGCAAGCCACACATATTTTCCTCTTTCAATCTCATTTTCCTTTTTAATTTCTTTGTTATTTGTTATTAATTTGATGTTAGAACTGTGAGGACAAGGTTCAAGTGAACTCAATAACAATGACAGAAGATTGTAATAGCATTTATATTATTAGTTATTAATATTGCTATTGAATTCTAATTGTATTTGAACTTTTAATTTTATTATTTATTATTGATATTATATAATATAATGTCTTTAAAACATTTGAGATATCAAAGAAATCAATGAAAGTTTTCATTTTTATTAGTTTATCTTTTTTTATAGTTTAAAATTTATAGAGTTCTTAATTTCCTTCCTAACGGTGCACGATGTCAAAACTGTAGCCAAGTAACTTGCAATCCATTTCCGTTGATTACTGGTTGATATATATTGATGAAACAGTTGTTAAACTCTTGTGATCTGTGGACACCTTAAAATGGCGACCAAGCAAGTATGGACACCAATGTTGCACCACCAAAACTACTGCCATTAATTAAATGGCGACCAAGCAAGTATGGACACCAATGTTGCATCACCAAAACTACTGCCATTAATTAAATGGCGACCAAGCAAGTATGGACACCAATGTTGCACCACCAAAACTACTGCCATTAATTATTTTTTGTAAGCATATTGACCAGATTTCTAGGACCCAAAGCCTTACTAAAATATGTTAGTGCAAGGTGATGAATTTGAGGAAGAAGAGAGAAAGGGAATAAATGCTAAAAGTTGCCACTAAATGATTGAAGGAATTGATTGATATAAATGTAAACCTAGTACACCTATTTATACACAAATAAGAATGCCACATAGACCCTAATCAATAATATTTATAAATGACAAATACTAAATTACCCTCTAATACCATCCCTTAATTTAGTAACTTATCAGAAGTTAACAACACCAATTTCATCTCTCAAACGAAGAAATTGGTCTGTTTTTATCGCCTTCGTCAGAATATCTGCCAGCTGCTTCTGAGTGCTACAGTGCAGAACTTCTAACACTCCTTTCTGCACTTGACTTCTGAGAAAGTGATATTTCGTCTCAATGTGCTTGCTTCTTCCATGTAGCACTGGATTCTTTACAAGATTAATTACAGACTTATTATCAATTATCAGCTTCAGAGGTTCCTCAACTTCAACCTTCAGATCATGCAGCAGATTTAGAAGCCAAACAGCTTGACACGCAGCTACAACACCTGCAATGTATTCAGCTTCACATGTTGACAAAGCCACAACCGGCTGTTTCTTGGAACTCCAAGAAATTGGACCTCCCAGAAACTTGAACAAGTACCCAGAAGTGCTTCTTCTGTCAACTCTATCTCCACACCAATCAGAATCAGAATAACTCAGAAGTTCTGATTTGATCTTTCCTCCAGAGGGAAATAACACTCCATATTTCAGAGTTCCTTTAATATACCTCAGAATCCTGACAGCAGCTTGATAATGAGACCATTTTGGTTTGCTCATGTATTTGCTGACCATTCCAACTGCATAACAAATATCAGGTCTGGTATTACACAAATACCTCAGAGAACCAACCATCTGTTTGAAGGTTGTAGCATCCACATCCTCTCCATCAGAATCAGAATCCAACTTCTGATTCGTATCAGCAGGTGTGATAGCAATCTTGCAATTTGCTAGCTCAAATCTCTTCAGAAGCTCCAATTCATACTTCTTCTGATGTAAGATGATTCCTTTCTCAGAGTATATAAGTTCCATTCCCAAAAAGAAACTCATTTTTCCAAGATCTGTCATCTCAAACGCATTCATCAGAACTTTCTTGAACTCAACTGTTTCTTGTTCAGAACTTCCTGTGAGTAATATGTCGTCAACAAACAAACAGACCAGAATCATATTACCTTCTGAAGTATGCTGAACATAAACACCATACTCCATCTCACACTTCTGAAACCCTTGTTCCTTGAAAAACGAATCAATCTTCAAATTCCAAGCTCTGGGCGCTTGCTTCAGTCCATACAGAGCTTTATTTAACCTGTATACCATCCCTTCCTGATTCTTTTTCACAAATCTAGGGGGTTGTGACACATAAACTTCTTCCTGTAATGGACCGTTCATAAATGCAGGCTTCACATCCAGATGTATCAAAGGCCAATTTTTGTTTGCAGCTAAAGCAATCACCAGTCTGATTGTTTCGTGTCTAGATACAGGCGCAAACACCTCAAAGTAATCTAGTCCAGGTTTCTGAAGAAAACCTCTGGCCACTAGTCTCGCTTTGTGTTTGCCAATTGATCCATCTGGCTTTAGCTTCTACTTGAAAACCCATCTGACGTTGATGGCTTTCTTGCCTTTTGGAAGTTCTGTCAGCTTCCAAGTCTTGTTTCTTTCAATAGCCTCAAGTTCTTCTTTCATGGCATTCAACCATACTTTCTTCTTGAGTGCTTCTTCAATACCCACTGGTTCAGAATCTACTAGCATGGCACACTGAACGATTTCTCCTTCAGAATCTACTTCAGTATCATGCAACATGCTAAAATCTGCAAACCTACTTGGTATTCGTCTGATTCTCTGTGGCCTCTGATCTTGTTCTGAAGCTTCTCCAGAACTCGGAACTGTGCTGGCTTCTGGACTTTGTCCAGAATTATTTCCTTCAGAGTTACCACCTTCAGAGTTACTTCTGGAAACTTGTTCTCCAGACCCCATGTCTTCAGAGTTTTCCCTTCCAGAAGTATAATCACCACCAGATTCTGGATCATCATCAGAATCTGGATCAGAATCAGATCCACTATCAGAATCTCCCTGAGATTCTGACTCATCTTCAGAATCTTCATCTTCTGACTCTGACTCGTCTTCAGAACTTTCTGAAGAATCTTCAGAAACTAACCCTGGTGTTGGAGCTACACCAGAATCTGATTGAAGCTTGTTCCAATCCCATGTTTCTGACTCTTTCACAATGACGTCTCTGCTGATTTCAACTTTGTTAGTTTATGGACAATAAAGCTTATAGGCACCTGTACTGTGGTACCCCACCAGTAACATTGTTTTGCTTCTATCATCCAGTTTTCGTCTTCTAGCCTCTGGAACGTGTTTGTAGCATACAGAACCAAACACCTTCAGATGGCTAACACTTTGCTTGTCTCCAGTCCATTTTTCTAAAGGAACAATTTCCTTTAGCTTCTTTGTTGGACACCTATTCAGAACATATGCTGATGTGGCAACAGCTTCTCCCTATAACATGTGAGGTAACTTCTTCTCTTTCAGCATACTTCTGGTCATATCAAGCAAAGTTCTGTTTCTTCTTTCAGCAAGACCGTTGTGCTGAGGAGTATATGGAGCAGTAACCTCATGTTCTATTCCATTCTCCTCACAGAACTTCTGGAACTCTGTAGAGTTATACTCACCTCCACCATCTGTTCTCAGAATCTTCAGCTTCTGACCACTCTGCTTCTCAGCTTTCACCTTGAACTTCTGGAACTCAGTAAACACTTCATGCTTGAACTTGATGAGTGTTACCCATGTCATTCTTGTGAACTCATCCACAAAAGACACAAAATATTTGTTTCCTCCAAGTGAAGGTACTGGAAATGGTCCACACACATCAGAATGTACTACTCCCAGAGCATGCTTTGCTCTGGGGGCTACTTCTGATGCGAATGGCAATCTGGGTTGCTTGCCTTTCATGCATATCTCACATGACTTCTGAGGCTTCACAATCTTTGAAATGTCATGTACGAGCTTCTTAGAACTTAGATGCCCTAAGCTTCTATAGTTCAAGTGCCCCAACCTCTTGTGCCACAGTTTACTGTCAGCTTCAGCGCCTTCTGCACTAAGACACTCCACTTCAGAGGTTTCTACATTCACCTTGAATGTCCTATTGCTTCCCTGCTCAGACTTCATAATCAACTTCTGATTAGAATCATACAACGTCAAGAGATTGTCCTTCATAACCACTGAAAAACCTTTCTCAATAAGCTGACCCACACTCATCAGATTGCTTTTAATTCCAGGAACATACCAGACGTCTTTGATCAGAATGTTTCTTCCATTCTTCACTGACTCTAAAATTTCCCATACCTTCTGCATTAAGGTACTTATCATCAGCACATCTGATCTTTGTTCTCCTTCTGGAGTCAAAGTCTATCAGCCATTGTTTGTTCCCAGTCAAATGGTTTGAACATCCAGTGTCCATATACCACCAATCTCCTGAACAATTTCCATCAGAATTAGAAGCCATCAGTAGCACAGGTTCATCATCAGAGTCTTCTCTGGCTATATTTGCTTCTTCTGGTTTCCTTCCTCTGTTTCTACAGTCTCTGGCAAAATGGCCAAACTGTTTACAGCAGTAACATTGAACCTTCTTCTTGTCATACCTTTCCTTTCCCTTCTGATATTTCTTTTCATCAGAAGTTGAGGTTTCTGACTTCTGGAATTTATCACCATGTCTATTCTGCTTCTGGTCCTTCTTGACAAAAGAAGCCTTCAGAGCTTGCTCCACTTCCCTCTCAGAAGTTCTTTCAGTCAGACGCAACTCTTGTGCTTCTAGACTGCTTTGCAACTCTTCTATTCTCATGGTTTCCATATTTTTAGAATGTTCAATAGAAAAAACAATGTAATCAAACTGAGGGGTAAGTGACCTCAGAATCTTTTCTATGATTACCTGTTCAGAAAGTGTTTCTCCACAAGCCTTCATTTCATTAGTGATCAGAATCATTTTGGAGATGTACTCAGAAACTTTCTCACTGTTCTTCATGCTGAGATTTTCATATTGTTTTCGCAGGGACTGGAGCTTTACCTTCTTTACTGATACGTCACCACCATAACATCTGGTCAGTATATCCCATGCCCCTTTCGACATCGTCGAATCAACAATCTTCTCAAACACATTTTCATCCACACACTGATGGATAAAAAACAGAGCTTTCTGATCCCTCTTCCTCGTAGCTCTTTCTTCTGATTTTTGTTCTTCAGTAGCACCTGCTGCAGCTGGAACATAACCTTCAGAAACAAGATCCAGAACATCCTGAGCACCAAACAGCACACGCATTTGTATCTTCCATCTGTTCCAGTTT